ACTGGTGCACCAACGACACAGTTAAAGTCGTCCACTGCTGCCGGACACAGAGTACATGATGGTTCAGTGTAGACCCTTCTACTTGCAGAGAGAGCTCACAGCGATCACAATAATAGCAGTTTATTAATGACAAGCTAATGCTAAGTCAGCCATGGAGCTACTCCAGCGCTCCATTAATAAACAGCTAACAACACACCGGACTGCGCTGTGATCGTGGCAGGAGATTTTTACCACGCAAACCTGAAATCTGTCCCGCATGGATTCTTTTAACTCTGACCATCTCTCTGTCCCTGATCCCTGCTTATAGACCTCTAACTCAAGACAAAACCATCTGAAAAAACGAGTGTGGACCGTGGAAGCCACCACGGCCCTACGGGACTGTTTTGACTGTTTTGTAGTGAGAGTGTAACAACAACAAAGACTGTTACAGTGTTCCCGAAACAGAAGCCATGGCTCAACAGGGAGGTGAGAGCCCTACTGAGAGCACGTGACAGCACCTTCAGATCAGGAGACCAACAAGTCTACAAAGAGGCTCGCCAACCTCTACATTGATGGGGGAGGTAGAAAGCTTTAAGTTCCTCGGAGTCCACATCTCGGCCGATCTTACCTGGTCCACAAACATCTCCCACCAGGCAGGGAAAGCACAACAAAGGCTGTACTTCCTCAGGAAACTACGTCAGGCCCAGTTACCCCAGAGACTGCTAATTAACCACAACCGCTCCACCATCGAGAGATTTCTGACCTCCTGCTGCACCGTGGAGGACAAGAGGAAACTGCAGCGGGTGGTGAGGGCACCTCACTGACCCCCTCAGAGACATTTATACTGGCAGACTTCAGCAGGAAGCAGCATCATCATCAAGGACCCCTCACACCCTGGACACGCCCCCCCCCTTCCCTCTGGTAAACGTTACAGGTCCATCAGGTCAAAAACAAACAGACTCAACAGAAGTTTTTACCCACAGGCTGTCCAACACACCCTACCTCCACCCTGATTGGAGGATAACTGCACTGCCAACACCCGTGGACATTACACCTTATTTATAAACCGTATTTTTATTTATACTATAATGCCACCAACAGTCCTACCTCCTAAACTGTATTTATTATAACTGTATTTATTGTAGTAGCACCCCCCCCCCAATTCAGTTTTATTATTGCGGGGACTTCAATCATGTGGATTGAAGATAGCGCTCCAGAAATTCCATCAAGGTGTAAATGGCACTACCAGAAGATTCAACACGTTGGACAAGCTGTACTCGAACATCAGACTGGGCTACAGAGCTGAGCAGCTCCCACGGCTGACCCAGTATGTCACAGGATGTCAGGGCTCCAGATTTTGTCAAAGATCTTGATGGCAGCAGACTCTAGAGAGTGAACACAGCTCTGGTTCAGTTGGACCTCAGCTTACCGTAGATCACAGCATCATGATAAACAGGCTCAACGACCTGTTTGGGATTACTGCTGTTCATTTTTTCTATATATTTTTATTGAAATGTTCTGTTGTACAATACAAACAAATATTTGAACAACCTCACATTCACACACCCATCCATACATCAAACCTGCCTACATCATATTCAAATGTAGAATGAGCATACAGTAATACAAAAATACAAGGAATTACGGATAAGGATAAACAAGATTTTCCCCTCCTTCCCTTCTTCTTTTCCTTCTTTCTCATAAACACCCTTCACCTCCACTCCCTAAAATATCCATATATGGCTTACACATATTCACAAAGTCCCAGTTTTTGCAATATATGTTAGTCTTTCCAGGCCTAGAGTCTGCAATTTCCTTCCTCCAGAGTCCCATGGAGGAGCATCAATACTCCTCTTAGTGCAATGGCTCTTCTGGCTTGAAGTAGTCCATAGTCCAGTAATTTAGTTTGTTTTTCCAG